TAACAGGGTTAAAAAAAAACTAGATAAGTTCATGGAAGTTAGGTCCCTCAAAGGAATGCTGTCCCTGCTCTCTGTTTTGGGTAGCAGGTTTAAAACTAATAAAAGCAAGTTCTTCTTCACACAGTGCGCAGTCAACCTGTGGGACTCCTTGCCAGAAGACATTGTGAAGACTAGGACTTTAACAGGGTTCAAAAAAGAGCTAGATAAATTCATGGAGGTTAGGTCCATCAATGGCTATTAGCCAGGATGTGTAGAAATGGTGTCCCTAGCCTCTGTTTGTCTGGAAATGGGTGAGAGGAGAGGGATCACGTGAGGATTACCTGTTGTGTTCCCTCCCTCTGGGTCAACTGGTATTGGCCACTGTCAGCAGACAGGCTACTGGGCTAGATGGATCGATGGTCTGACCCACTATGGCTGTTCTTATGTTCTCACACAGAGCAGACCCTCGGGCATCCGGAGCTATCCATGACTGTGTGGTGATGAAGGTTCAGTTGCCGTCACAGAACCAACCTTCTTGCCCCAGGGCCTAGGGATGGAAGTGGGTGTAGGCAAGGGAAGGGCTCACCAGAATGAGTATTACCCACGTCTCTGCACACACATACTTCAACCTAACATCCTCCAGTAGGGAGTTCCTGGCTTTGCACAGTCCTGGAGAAGAGAGCTGGGACTCAGAGCTGACGTGGAGGTCAGGGCCTCCATATGAACCCTCCTAGGCTCCTGAGGAGCTGCGTGGATTTGGGAGGATCAGCAGGATCATGGGGCAGAACCGGTTTTTTTCAGAAAGAGCAACTCACCCAATGGAAAGGTTTCAAGGGGCCTCCGAGGAGGGCCTTTTGGATGTTCCTTCACTTGCTCAGAGCATCCACCCTCAACAGCTTTTCTCCTACCCCCTTTCCTTTTCCACTGCACCTAGCTCTGGTGGATGCAGCCAGGAAAAGCCCAGCAGAGCCTGGGAGACAGCTGCATGAGCTTCGCCAGCCTGGAGGCCCTCGTTGCACATGTCAGGGGGTACATCAGATGGCTACGCTCCTTAGCCCTCTCCTCTGAGCTTGCCCAAGCAATGCCATTCATGGGGGTCGTTCTGTGTTGTAGACTCTTGTCCAGGAAGAAATAGGATGTGGAGCAACAAATTGTTTGGGAAAGGCTTCCAAAGAGCCACCAGAGGGTGACAGTATTACTACAAAGCTGAGCTGGGTCCAAAGAGCCACCCATCTACACAGCCCCCAAAACTCGATATAAGATGCGCAATTTGCGCTATGCAAATTGCATATCTTATTTCGATTGAATTTCAAAATAGGCTATTTCAAAATTTGGTGCATCTAACAGCACCAAAATTTCAAAATAACGCGCTATTTCGAGACATTCCTTGTCCCTCATGAAATGAGGTTTACTGGAGCGGTCGACAAAGGCTGCCGCGCTGTGCCGGATCAGCTGATTGTCGGCACAGCATGGCAGCCATTTTTATTTTAATGAAGCGGGGATTATTTAAATCCCCGCTTCATCGACTATGTCGAGTAAATTACTTTACATGGCTCAGTCGATGGAGCCATGTAGTCTAGACGCACCCCTCGGGAAAACATCAACTCATCCAGATATCTGTCTAGTTTTCAAATTGGCTACAGAAAAAGCACTAGAAAAGTCAGCACAAAGTAAAATTTCATGTAGACAGTGACTTCTTTATGCTGCTCTATCTACCTTATATTTGAGAGAGTTTGCCTGTGCGTCTATTCTGTCTGTTCAACTACTCCTCCTAGATGGGAAGAGCTAGGACCACCACATTCAGAATGCAACTTTCTCTGATTATAACTTAAAGCAAGGCCAGGGATTGGTTGTGCCAGGACAATGGGATGTGCCTGGAATGGGACTGCTTCTCATGAAACCATTCATAAAAGAGACAGACTCCTCAGGCAGGTGAAAGGGGGTGGGAGCACCCTGAGCCTCTCGCCTCCTAAGCAGCCTTTAGGGAAGGTGTGTAGTTTCTAAGTGAGGTAGAACTTGGGGATATGCACGACAAGTCGGACTCCTGGAAGGGTACCATAGTGTGGAAAGGGCCAGGCCGAGAACCACTGGCTCCTAGGATCAGAAGAAAAAAGGGACCTTTCCTTTTACACGTGCAGCAAAAGCAAATAGCCACGCTGGTGATCCATAGCAGGAAAATATTCCATCCTGCCCTGTACCATATGCAACCACCTGCAGCATTCACTTGGCTTCCTGCACAGCCAGTTGCCAGGAGGAGAGACACTAGTGTAACAGTTTGCAAAATGGTACACCATTTAAAAAAAAATACGGACACCATAAAATCTCTCTAAATGTGGGCAATGAAAATGCTGTTCCCTATCGCCCTGGGATGGCCGCTGTCACGTCTCTCGCATGGCTTTGCCACTGGTGAAACTTTCCTTTGATGAAATAAAAAGCAAGATTCATCGCCCACACAAAGAGCAGTTTCTCTGTCTTTTGTAAGTGGCTTTTTAGTGTAACTAGTTGGTTGTGTAAAAATAAATCAAGGGGCGATTCACTGGGCTGATGACACATCTGGGGCATGAATTAGAACCGGTCGAAGATGACCACTGCTTTTCACAGATCTTGACTTCCCGACTTCCACATGGTGTTAAAAGAAAGGACTGGGAGCCAGTGTGCTAGAATGTCTTGCCCTCATGCTACTTACTTGCTGGATGGTGCTGAGTGAGGGAATTAGGCCAGGATTTGAACGTATGCTGAAAACTGACATATCCACTGGAAGTAATGGAGCGGCAGTTGCTTGGCTGATCTGAAAACCGGGCTTGAGGCGTGGTCTCTAAAGAATCATAGACTGCTAGAACTCAGGAGGGCATCAAGTCCAGTCCCCTGCCCTCACGGCAAAACCAAGCACCATCTAGACCATCCCTGACAGGTGCCTGTCTAACCTGCTTTTAAATATCTCCAGTGATGGAGATTCCACAACCTCCCTAGGCAATTTATTCCAGTGTTTAACCACCCTGACAATTAGGAAGCTTTTCCTAATGTCCACCCTAAACCTCCCTTGCTGCAGTTTAAGCCCATTGCTTCTCATTCTATCATCAGAGGTTAAGGAAAATCATTTTTCTCCATTGTCCTTGTAACACCCTTTTAGGTTCTTAAAAGCTGGTTCCCTCTCAGTCTTCTCTTTTCCAAACTATGACACCCCAAATCAGAGACCGCTTAAAAAAATAAGCCCAACGTTTACAAATATTTATAAATGTGTACAGCCACTTTTGGGCTCTTTGGTGAAAGGGCATTTGGTCAGCAGGGAGCTTCCTGGATAGAACCTTGAAATCTACGGCAGCCTAGGAATTGCTATGCATGTTAAAGCAAAACTAAATAGTAATGTTGTGAAAAACATTTGTATAAAAAAAAAGGCACTTTAGAGGTAAGCAAGAGAGCCTGACTAACTCAGACCACTGTGGGATAATGACAAATACAATCACAGGCATTCCTTCAGTTTTGTTACCACTTGCCTATCCCAGTCACTGTTTGTTCTTGATAAAAAACCTTAAAATAAAATAACTTAATTTTCTTTTAAAAAATGTGTAATTGTCCTGATTTGACTTAATTTTTACAGAAAAGCCCTTTTTAAAGAAAAGCCCATTTTACAGAAGGTTATGACGTGTGTAATATTCACCACAAAATGAAACAGCTCATTTGAAGACAGCTCCAGTCTGTGAGGGAGGGAGGGAGGGAGGGAGGGAGGGAGAGAGAGAGAGAGAGAGAGAGAGAAAGAAAGAAAGAAAGAAAGAAAGAAAGAAAGAAAGAAAGAAAGAAAGAAAGAAAGAAAGAAAGAAAGAAAGAAAGAAAGAAAGAAAGAAAGAAAAGTGCTATGTGACGATAGATAGATGGAGATTTCTAAATTATTTTAAAATGCATAATATTTACCTGCACACACAGCAGGCATTGATAGTCAAATCCTGCTCCCTTTGAAGTCAATGGGTATTAAACCTGGATTAAATACCCATGGGTTCAGAATTGTGCCCTTTATCAGGTACACATTATTTAGTGTTCTTGTAGCCATGTTGGGCCATTTAAAAAAAGGAGTTGAAGGGCATTGTGCTTAATATCTTTGTGTACAAAATAAAACAATTAATGGGATACTGGGCCCAATCCTTTACTCCCAGGAATACTATTTACTCATGCCAGAAGACCCATTACAATCCCATTGCAAGTGTATTGACAAGGTCATATCTCATCATAGTCATCCGCTAGTTATCCTGTAAAATTATTCTCCCAAATCTGAAGGAAGGCAGCAAAGTTAACCTCATGTTGCCAAAACACAGCTTGCTAACCTGAGAAGAAAAGAGCTCTCTTCCTGCTTCCTTACAGAAATAACAATGGGGCTGTTGGGATGACTAAGGGCTAAGAATCAAGTCTGCTGTCAGGTCAAATCTGAACCAAAATGAAAAGGTATGTAGCCAGTTTTCAGAGGAGCTCCCCTGATGCCAATGGAAACATCATCATAATTATGGGTAGGATAAAAGGCCTTAGTTATTTCCTTTGGATGCATACTTTCCCAAAATCCATGATAACTGAAACGGTTTCTATTTTTTTAAACAACCCTCATGCAAATAGATTTTTAAAACAAATCAATACGCTCTCTGTAGCATTTGCAGCTCAGAACAGTAAAGAGGCAGAAAATAAAACTGGCTGGAAACAAAAGAGACTGACTTTTCTTTCTTTCTTTCTTTCTTTCTTTCTTTCTTTCTTTCTTTCTTTCTTTCTTTCTTTTTTTTTTTCTGAGAAAAATGCAAAAAATAAACATAATCATGACTAAGAAAAAACATGAATCGTGATTTTAAAATCCCTTCCGCTCTAGGACCTAATCCTGCAGCTCCTTTTAGTAACAAAGGGCAAAGAGATTTTTATGTTATTTTAAATATATTATTCTAAAACTGACAACATTACATTAAAAGGACTTTACTCTCAGAGCCCTTTTGATCTATTGCATCAACACATGGTTAAAGAGTAATACCATGCTCAGTAATAATACATACTCAAAATTCTTCTGGGTAATGGTAATTATACATTCACTGCAGCTCCTCCTAAAGCTGAATGTCTCAGCTAGTCTAACTTGGTGTTTTAAACTCTTATTAGGGATTTGGCTATCCTGTGAACGAACATCGCTTCATCGCTGTAGGGATCTGATCATCAAACCAACTCTATTTTGTGAAAAAAGAAGGAAAGGAAGATGTAAGTGTTGATTTAATGTCTATTGATCTATCCGTTCTATAAAGTTATATTGAATCCAGCCTATATTTGCTCTTCAGCTTTGAACAAATTCGGGCTCCAAACTTGCTCCAATTCAGGTCAATGGCAAAATTCCCAATTCCTTCAGTAGGTGCAGGATTAGACCCCTCCTGTTATTAACATTTGTCTGGCATGGTTTTTGCTACTACTCCTTGTCTTTTAATTGCTTCTTGCACTTTCTAGGCATTAACCAGAATGTGCAAAACAGTGTGCAAACGTCAAATGATTCAGTGTTCTTTACCGCCAGGCTGCAGCTACCCTGTGTTTTTCAATGCTTGGCACACAAAAAAAGTGATCATTAAATAAATGACACATGACTGCATTCAACAGAAAACTGGCAGGGAGAGCATGGAGAACTTTTGGGGTCCCAAAGGCAATCCCTGAACCAAGACTATGTTGTTTGCAAGCAAGAATATTTGTATCTTGTATACTATCTCCTCGGGAGCAATAAAGTCCTATGACCTTATCATAGGAGGGTAAGAAATTAGGATCTTCTGACTAGATCATTGACGTGACTTTGGAGTTTTGTCATTCAGAGACAACATTCACAAAGAGATTTTTGTCCATTGCCATATTTATAGACACATACTTCTCTGACACCACATACACAGAGAGAGAGAAAGAGAGAGAGATTTGGAACGTGTGATACCTGATACTGCTTTATATGGAGGTAATAAACACATCAGGGCCATAAACCTGATCCAAAGCTACTGTATTCAAGTCAATTTCCTTTGCAACTGCCAAAAGAAATTGACTTCAGTGGACTTTGGATCAGGCCCTGTTTCCTGGAATCAAGGAAATGTTTATGCTATCCACTCTAAAAACCACTCCACAGATGGGGAGCCGTTCATACTCTGTGAGCCAGAGGCATGTGTCAGCTAGGTGACATGTTTACAAACAGGCAATATATTTGTGCAGGAGATACATGTAAACTTGACTCTGTCTTCCCAGAAGCAAGCAAGACTTAACAATGCCTCTGAATGCTCAGGGCAGAAAGAAAAAAAAAAAAGTAAAAGAGGACCCATCAAAGGGGGGTGGGGAAGGGATATGAAATACCTCCTGGATCTTCTAGCACTAGTCAAACAGTTACTCCAGGATGACTGCTAGTGATGGACAGATCCTTATTGGTAAGTATTTAATGTTTCTTAGGAAGCACTTCTAAAAGAAATTGGTATGTAATGACAGCTCTCACTGGAAAACAGGCCGATTAGAAAATGCACTAACTTATCTGGTATTCATTTGAAAAGTAAATGGATGCAAGTAAAGGTGAGAGGTCACTACCAATTCAAATATTTTGCTTTAACAGGCTCTAGCACTCCTGCTTTAATTCAAGCAGAAACACAAGTATGAATAATCAAACTGGATGATGCTCATCAAAACCTTTGTGCCTTGCACCATTTCAAATGGTCATTGAAGCTTAATGGCAAAAAATTTACATTATTCCTTTAATTTGTATTCTGTTCCTTCCTTCTGAGTGATGTGATTGTGATTTTCTGTTGCCTGCTGTATTATTTTGATGCAAATGTTATGTGTTACTGGAGTCCAATTTCCTGCTTCTCCGTCCCTTCTCTCTTCCCCCCCCCCCCTTCTTTGCCTCTACTAAAGAAAGGACTTACTAAAATAGTTCCAAATTGGGTGGTATTTAAATAGTTTCTGAACTACTGGTTCTAATTAAGGCAAACAATGCAGGGTCTTGAAACACCTTGAAAATTAATCATTGCCAAAGGGGTAGAGAAGATGTCAACATTTGTGGCTTTGCTTCCCCCTTTTCTCTCCCCCCTCCAAAGCGAGGAATCCAAATTCTTTCCACAAAAAGAATTAAAAGAAATTTGTAATTCTGCTTAAAAAAACCTCCCTTTGGCTGGCAGCTAATCACTCGGGGATGAATGCTTTATGGAGATACACGGGGTTGCAAGCCAAAGCCTGCAAATACAAGGCCCCCAGGGTGTTCATTGCATGTAATGTATGCACAAGCTAATTTATTATCCTGTGACTAATTTCCATTTCTTGTGCTTAGAGTTGCCTGGCTAATTACAGGGATGTTTTCTTAACTTTCGTAATTATGTTCCCCGCTTTATACCAGGCAACAGAGCAAATGAAGGCGGGCTGGCAGCCCGGGGCTCCCAGGCAGATGCACCCAAGTGAGATGAAATCAGCAGCAACCCGAGCAGGGCAGAGCAGCCTCATCAGAAGTCCCCCCCCAGTCTTTGATCAGCTCCAACAGGCTGCATGGGCAGCCCGCGTGGAGGGGCCAGGCGAGAGAACGCCGCGTAATTAGATTGACTGGCTTAATTAGGGGGAAAGTTGGCTGCTAAATGGAAGCGGGTGCGTCTCCGCTGCGCTCTGATGGAGAGCGGGGGGTCCCCGGCACAAAATCTTCCCCGCTGGGCGCACTGACTCCGGGGCGCGCCGCAGTGGAACCCTGACGCCGGGACAGCCGCTTTCTTCTGGCTCCCTTTGAGGCGCGCAGCCAGGCAGGGGCGCAGCAGGGGGAGCGCTCTGTGCCCAGTTTGTCAGCGCGCCGAGCATGAGGGCCCGCCGGCCCCCAGCGGGCACAATTAGCCAATAAACCCCTCCAAGGCTCGACTCGGCCACGCTGCCACTCGGACAGCGCGCTGCGCCAGCCTGGCTTGGCCGGCGTCCCCCGGGGCGGCTCGCACGTCGGGACCGGCGAGCCCCTGTCCCTACAGATCGAGATGGGGGGGGAGGGAGGGGAGAGAGACGAGAGCAACATCATTTGCCCTCACTACACCCACGCGTGTGCAAAGCAGGCAGCTAGTTTATGGGGGTCCCCAAGCCAAATGCGCAAAGAGCTGGGTAAGGTTCCCAGGGAGAGAAATCGATTTAAGCGCCTGAGGTGGAGCTGCGAGATCCGGCGGGCCTGTGCGCCTCCCGGGTGTCTTTCTCACTAGCTGCCTGTGCTGCTTTGAGACGTTCGTGGCGGGCTAAATGCGTCCACAGAGGAGTGTAAAGGGGGGGCGTAGATAGAGACCCCCAGACAGAGATACACGCGTGTGCGGGACTAGCCAGGTGCCTGTTAGGTGTGTGGTATCGATACTGACAGCGAGAGGGGTGCGGCGTGTGGTGCGTATCGACAGGTAGACTCAGGTGTGCGTCCGCCTGCCTGCGCTTCTACCAATGTCACCAAGCGGCTGTGCTCCGTGGCAGGGGTCCTACACCGGGTAGTCTCTTCTTTCCCACGCTCCAGTGTAGCCAGGCAGGACCGGAACAATTTGGCCCCTTTTTTTGCAACGCCCAAAGAACTTCGCCAGTGGCGACAAGGGGCCGACCCGGCGCGAAGGTCCCACGCACCAACTCCGGGAACTGACTCCCGGCGCGAAGATTTTGTTCCTTCTTCCTCCCCCGAGCTGGAACAAGCTCCCGCCGCGGGCCGTGCGTCTGTGTCGCTTTCGCTCTCCGCTTTGACTTCTCAGGCTCCGCGCACCGTCCTCCCCCAAATAAAGCAAAGGCCGCGCAAAAGAGGCGCAGGCCGCGTGGCGTGCACAGGGCGGTCGCTGCCGGGAGGCGAGGGCTTGCGCGAATGACCCCTGCCATGGAACCATGTCCCCGAGAAGTGCTGGGTGTCGCCAAGGTTGGCAGCTAACCAGGGGGAGCAGCGACGGCCAAGCGTTAGTGGAGACAAAACCTAGGAGTGCGGGGGCACCTGAGAGACCCAATTGCATTAGGGCCGTGAGCTGGCGGGGCGGGGCGGGGAGGGGAGGGGCTTTTTCAGGGGGCACGCTGCACCCCTCCCCTCTGCTATGTAAATCCCAGTATTCCGAATTAAACCACAGCCCAGGTGCGGATCAGCACTCCAACGTGTCAGTTTCCTGCCCTTGTTAATTTCAGTTCGGCACGAAGGGCGCCACGTGGAACAGGACAGAGAGTTCGGACCAAACTCCTCACTTCGATTCTCCTTCGCCCTGGGAGATGTTTGGGGGTGGCCGAGGCAGATTCCCCCCCCCCTTTTTTTAAACAATCACAGACACAGGATTTGGCCTCCAAACGGGCTGCCTTTTGCGCCGCTTCCCGACGTGCGGAGCCACGTCCCAACGAAGCGCCAGGCCCTGAATCGGATCCGCCCCCGCTCGCAATTCCGCGCGGCAATTAAAGAGCGAGGAAGGCGCTGGAGTGGAGCTAGACGCACAACAATGCCTGCCGAGCCGCCTTTCAGCCCTGCGAGCGATCCAGGTTCCGCGCCAAGCACGGGCAGCCCAAGGAAATGTAATTACTTCGCCGGCGCTTTCAATTTTTTTAAGGTTATTATTCCTACTTCGGAATGCAAAGTGCTTCTGAAAGAAAGTCGCCTGGCCTTGGTCCCTAAACCGCATTACGTTAAAGGTCAGGCGTGTGTCACACACAATCTACAGTTACTAATTTAATGGCGCAGCGCTGCAAGGCACTGGAGTAAAATAAAAAAAAAATCCCCAATCGTTCGCAGTGTCTGCAGCTAGGAATTGGGTGCGTTTCCCTTTGCTTGTTAAATAGGCCCCACAATACCTTTTGTGCGCAGGAGAACTCATTTTCCTGCGACTCCCCCTTCTCCCCTTCATTAGTCATCTATTTGTCTCCTCTCTAGAGTCCCCTGCGGAAAAAACAACACAAGACTTCAATGGGGCTATTTACCAAACACAGGGCTCTAAATGAGGCTTTGTGGGGAGGGAAGTGTGAATAGTGTCCTTAGGATCTAGGCAAACTCACGCCCGGGCCTGGTGTGAGGAGCGATTGTTGGCGGCGCTTAATCAATGTGCATTAGCAGCGCCTCACTCCACAAACGCGCTGGGGTGGAGATTTCGCCTGCCTAATACATATTGTTCGCGGGGAACAACTGTTTCATCTCAGCAGAGGACCAGCAAACGCACCCCTCCCAGTCACTCTGCCCATTGCACCCGGGAAAGCTCCCAAAGGCCAGTGCCTAATTCAGGTCTCTCTCCTACTCAGTGATTTACAAGCTCAGGGATTTTTAAAAAACCAACCACCCATCCTAAGACACATGCACCTCTGGGGTGAACAATGTATGGAGCTTTCCAGTGAAATGCTCTGGTTCAGGGCTGAACCCACCAAAGATCCCATGAGCCAACAATCAAGTCAATGGAAAGAGGGTGTGGCTTGGGTCAGGTTCCTAAGGGTCGCACCTGTAAACTGTCAGGTTTTGAAACCCGTGACTGATTGCACAGGCACATAATTGGGAGGTGGTCCTGCCATCACCCACACCCCGTTTTGGCCAGGTATGCAAACGGGATTGAAAAAAATTACAGTGAAGTCCATCTTGTCTAATCAGGTATCGCATGGCCTACGCTAATGGTGCCCTGTCAGAGAACCTTCCAAATTCATTCCTATGAAGAACTAGGTGCTGTAATGACTGATTTGCTCTCTCAAACAGCAACAATTATATTTGTGATTTTATGTGGCTCTATCTTGGACCAATAGCTTTATACACACCAAAATGCCCTTATCTACACCAATTTTATCTCCACTACCCTGACTGGATAGTTTGGGATTTTTTCCCCAGTAATCATAATGTATCTCATAAAACACCAAGCCTTAAACATTCAGCTATCTGTGCTGCTTATAATATTTTAAACATATCTCAGTTAGCTCTAATTTTTATACGCTGAAATCACTCATGCATTAAAAATTATTAGACAGATAATCACTTCCTTGAAATAATTTCAGCACTCGTCTATAATAAAAAAGATTTCTTTCAAAGGACTCTTAGTTAAATGGGCTCCGTGCTACTTTCTGTATCATGTAGGTCAATTTAATTCTGCTCTCTACTCTCTATACAGCTAAACAATTGCTTTTCATAAACTGGAGAGCACAGTGAATGCAGTCTGTAATATCCATCCAGAGATGGCCTTGAACACTTTCATTAATAAAAGCTTGACATCTGAAATTCCACTTCTTTATTCGTCTCTTATCAAAGAGTTAGTCAAGATTTCAGAAAATTAATGTCATATTAATAAATATTAATAATTTAGCAGTGAATGGTTCAGAAATGGGGAGCATGGTAAGCATGTCAGATACAACATCCATTTACTTTAATACAGCTACACATGGACAATGCAGGGACAGGATTTCTGGGACAAGAATCTTAAAAGCTCAAGAATATGCCTGAAAAGATGCTGTTTGTAATTCTAGATTTGCGGGTGGCAACTCATTGCTCTGATCCTCCAAATACACATGGACTTAGCTTTACTTGTGTTGGTAGTGCCACTCAAACTGGACTACTCTAGGGTGTCAAGTTCAGAGTGTCTAAGCTGCCAATGTGCTGAGATCAGAGTCTATCATGCTTGCCAATCTGTCTCTCTGTTTCCTTGCACTCCTCCATCTGTCTGCCTGTTTCTGATCAGGTCTTGTCTTGTCCTTAGAGCAGGTCTATACTGTGGGGAGAAGTCAATTTGAGTTATGTTAGTAGCATAACTCAAGCCGACCTAGCCACAAGGTCCACATGGAGTTGGGTCAACAGGAGAAACTCTCCCATTGACTCCCCTCACTCATCTCCTTCTGGTGGATACTGAAATCAGCCAGAAAGCAATCACTGATTGATTTAACAGGCCTTCCCTAGTGGATCCATCTATGCAGCTGTAACCCTCACCAAGCGGATTTGAACCTGGGATCTTTGGAACAGAATATAGGCACCTCTGCTCTCTGAGCTAAAAGCCAGCTGCCTCCCAGCCCCTCCTGTAGAGGTCTCTTGATATTAGCTGTTGCTGTGGTGTAAGTGCCACTTGCATTGCTCAGTAATCACACTAGGGCTATGTCTACACTCATGGCTTCTTGCTCAAGTAATATGCAAATGAGGCTAAGCATGGAATATCACTGAGCCTCATTTGCATACGTAATGAGCTACCATTTTTTTCAGAAGAGGCTCTTGTGCAAGAAGGAGCGTCTACACTGCCCCTTCTTGAGCAAGAAAAACCCTCTTGCGCAATGCCGCTACACCTATTACTTTTCAGGTGTGTGGGTTACACAGCATTAATCCACACAGCAGGCTGGGCAAGCCTTTTTGGCAGTGACCTTTTTTCCCTGTGTTTGTACAATACCTAGCACAATGGGGTTCTAGGGCTCACAGGTGCAATCCCCAATCACATAATAACGTGTGTAAGTCTTTACAGTCTGACTGCACTCCAGAAGAGCATCCTGTAAGATACTAGCCATCCTCAACTTCCATTGGCTTCAATGAAAAAAGCTAAGACTGTTGCAGTCCGGAGACAGTAAAAATGTTATTGTTGCACTCCCAGACAGGGTGGCACATTAGAATGAGCTAATTAAGTCCCTCCTACCTCAAAACAGGGCATTCACAAAGACACATACATATGGGTTCATTTGTCTTCTGACCTACACATACACCAGGCACTTCTGTGCCTCAAATTTAAAGCAGCTACTTGCCACAGATACTGCATAAGTGTAGAAGACAGAATTCCAGGCCTTTGGTTTGCATGCGAATGGTGTTAACTGAATAAAATCCAGACCATTGACACATACACTTGGTGCTTTGAAGGGACCCATTTCACCACACTGAAAACAATTATGAGTCAAATCACTTGGAACCAAGAAATTACTCAGAAAAAAGTGGATGATCATTAGGAACTGTTTAAGAACATTTTATTAGAGGACCAAAATACCAGAATTGAAAGGCCATACTGGTTTAAAAACTCATCGGGTTCAGAGAAGAATTGAAGGCTCATATAAAAAAATTAAAAAATGGAAGAAAGGGGAAGATGGTAGTAATAAACATGTCAGAAGATAAGAACTGTAGAAAATTGATAAGGGATGCAAAGAAACATGGAGAACTCTGTGACCAGAGTTAAGGACAAAAAGAAGCAGTTTTCAAACATATATTATGAATTAACAGAATCCCAACAATGGTATTGGTCCATTACTAGATAAAAATATTAGAATTATCAATACTAATGAAGAAAAGAAAAGTATTCAGTAAATATTTCTATTATGTATGGTGGGGAAGACAATGTAGTCATATCATATTGTAAGTCTTTCCATTCCTCTGCTATCTCTGGAGGATGTTGAAAAGCAACTATTAAAGTTGAACATTTTAAAATCAGTAGACAACTTGCATCCAAGAATTTTAAAAGAGCTGTCTTAAAAGGTCACTGAGCCATTATTTGTTTTCAGTAAGTCTTGGAACAATGTGGAAGTTCCTGAAGACTGGAAGAAAACTATTGTATCAATATTTTAAAAGGGTAAACAGGATGGCATGGATAATTATAGGCCTCCCAGTTTGATATTGATTATCAGCAACATAATGGAGCAGCTGATGAGGGACTCAATTAATAAGGGATTAAAGGAGCGTAATATAATTAATGCCAATCAACACAGGTCTATGGACAATAGGTTCTGTCAAACTAACTTGGTATTTTTTAAATGAGATAAGTTTAGTTAATTAAAATAACAATGTTGATAGACTATACTTCAATAAGACATTTGACATTTTGATTTACATTTGATTTACAAATTAGAAAATCACAAACAGAGGTTGGTCCAATAAAAATATTACTTTACTCACTGTGTCTAATAATTGGGGAGCCACACAGCTGCAGCACACCAGGGCATATATAAAAATAACATGGCACACATGAAACAGTTTAAAAGCTGGGTAACTGACCAGTCTTAAAGCATCGTTGTAGATAGGGAATCATCCTCAAATGACTGAGTTTCCAGAGAAGCCTCTCGGGGATCAGTTTCTTGGCCCTACACTATTTACCATTTTTATTAATAAGTTGGACAAACAAACAAAGTCACCACTGATAGGCTACGTCTACACTGGCATGATTTTCCGGAAATGCTTTTAACAGAAAAGTTTTCCATTAAAAGCATTTTCGGAACAGAGCATCTAGATTGGCACAGACGCTTTTCCGCAAGAGCACTTTTTGCGGAAAAGCGTCCGTGTCAATGTAGACGCGCTTTTCTGTAAAAAAGCCCTGATGGCCATTTTCATGATCGGGGCTTTTTTTGCAGAAAACAAAGCTGAGCTGTCTACACTGGCCCTTTTGCGCAAAAGTTTTGTGCAAAAGGACTTTTGCCCGAACGGGAGCAGCATAGTATTTCCGCAAAAAGCACTGATTTCTTACAGTAGGAAGTCAGTGCTTTTGCGGAAATTCAAGCGGCCAGTGTAGACAGCTGGCAAGTTTTTCTGGAAAAGTGGCTGATTTTCCGGAAAAACTGGCCAGTCTAGACACAGCCATACAGTTTACAGATGACACAGAAACAGAGGTGGTGGTGGTGGTGGGGGGGGTGATACATAGTGAAGAGAGGTCACTGACTCAGAGCATGTCCATAAGCTGGTTGCAAGAAAACTTTATGCATTTCACAGGACTGTCAATGGAAGCCTGGAGGAACAAAGCACACTGGCAAGACTCACAGGATGAGGGACACTAGCCTGAGAAGCAATGGCTCTGAATTTGGGGGTCGAGGTGATAATCAGCTGAACATGAGCTCCCCGTGCAACACTGTGACCAAAGGTGTTAACGTGATCCTGGGATGCATGCACCAGGGAATGTGAAGGAGGAGGAGACACGTTATTTTAACCTGTATTCAGCGCTGGTGCCACCACTGCTGGAATCCTGTGTCCAGTTCTGCTGGCCGTAAGTTCAGAAGGACCTTGATAAATTGGAGAGGGTTCAGAGAAGAGCCAGGAGAATGATGAAAGGGTTAGAAAAGCTGCCTTGTAGTGATCAACTCAAGTAGCTCAATCTAGGTCTGTTAACAGAGAGGAGGGGAAGGGCTGACGAGATGATGGTTGAGAACAGGGGTGGGCAATAATTTCTGACGGGGGTCCACTCCAAGAATTTGGAAAGTGGCCAAGTGCTGTTCTCTTCCATGATATTAATGGAAGAGGTGTGGGATCTGGAATGGAGGTTAGGTGCAGAAAAGCTTGGGGTAGAGGATTGGGGTGCAGGAGAGGGTGTGGGGCCTGGGAGGGTATTTAGGTGAAGGAGGCAGTTGTGACCTAAGATACTGGACTAGGGAGCAGGGGGTTGGGTGGTGACCTAGGGCAGGGAATTAGGGTACGAGGGGGTGCACGGGTTTGGGTTGTGAGCTAGGGCAGGGGATTGGGGTGCAGAGGGTTGGGATGCAGTGACAGAGGCAGGCTCTGGCCAGGAGACATATCAGCCCAGCAGTTTCTCAGGCAGGCAGGCAAGGAGCCTGCCCCACCGCCGCACAGGCTGCAGCCATGTGCTTTGTGAAGAATTATGAGCCCTGGAGGGGAGGGGGCATGGTGATTCATGGCTGCCTGTTATGGAAACAGGAAACTCCCATTGGCCAGTTTCTGGCCAGAAATTGACCAATGGGATTGCGCTAGGGGCAGGAGAAGAGCTTCAAGCCTTCTCCCTCCCCTATGGGTTCAAGGGTTTTTAAAGAAAATGTGCCCGGTAGTCATGTTTCTGAGTGGCAGGCAGGTGGGGCGAGGCAACCTGGTGCCCCAACCTGGGGTCCCCGCAGCATCCGCAGGCTGGATCTGGTGGCTTAGAGGGTCGGATGTGGCCCACAGGCCATATTTTGCCCAGGCCTCATCTAGAAGTACCCATGGGAAACAAATACTTAATAATGGGCTCTTCACACGTAGCCGAGAAAGACATAGGACAAGCCAATAGAAGCTGAAACTAGACAATTTGAGACTGAAAATAAGGTGTAAACTTTTATCATGGAGAGTAGTTAACCACTGGAGCAACTTGGCTTTGAACTCCATGAATCTCTTACAAATAGGACAAGGAGAGTGTAATCCTTCGTGGGTCTTTCTTCCACGCAGTGGAACCCTAAAGCTTTCCCTGTGTTCGCAAACAAGGAGTAGGTTAAAGTTCTCCTGCCTCTGAGCTCACTGGAATCCCCACGATCTCACCTCTCCTCTCAGCTGGGCAGCAGAAG